TCAATGATTCCGGGAAGATATCGACAGGTTGATTCAACAGTGTTGCCAGTATTTGTATCTGGAAATTGATCACATTCATACAAGTGCTGGTTTATATCAAAAAAGACGACTGACTGTACCCATGAGAGGTCGGGTCCGATCGCTGAGTTAAACGTTTCACTGCGCTCATCGTTCAACAATCCGAGTTTATTCAACGCCTTCACTGTATCTGCGAAACCCTAAAAAATTATTTCTTGAGAACTGCACTCTAACCCGAAAACCACAAAATGAAGACCGTAAAACGAAATAGACGGTCAACAGTGAGACAGTAGTCAATTAAGATCGAATGAAGGAAATTACGATTGAAAGAAAAAACATCAAACGGAAAACATAGATGTAACCCTGTATCTGAGTGTTCCTCTTAGGAGAGTTTTGCATTCTGAACTCAGTCCATAGATGGATGCATATTTAGTCGAATCTCGATTTGGGTATCCGACGAAGTTGAAACCAGGCATAAAGCCGATCGGGTAAAGATTATCCAGCACCTCACAATTGCCACCAATCTTGACCACTTCACCATTGTGCAGATATTGTGCTCCGTTCATTAGTGCCATGAAAACACCCTTCGGACTCCAACTGAATAATTACATAAGCGATTTCATCGATTAATTGCGGTACTTAAAATATCTGTTGCGTATATTCGCATCGTATGAAATCAATCTGTAAACTATTTCGTTTCTCAAAACAATACCTGAATTTGTATCGAAGCGGGTTTTCTGAAGATTCCGGAGCTGGAAGACCGCCGCAGAAACTCACAAACGAGGTCACCTGAAGCGGTTTTCGTCAGCCATTTTGTTAAAATTGCTGGGAAAATGATGGGAAACAAAATCAACCGTTAATAAAATTTACTTTTCCGCCATGTTCCTTGACGTTGTCGATGCATTGCATGGCAAGCATGTGATCAATGCCAGGATCAAGTCCTGACTCGTTCATGACCGTTATTCCTGCCTCGATTGCTCTACAATTGGACAGATTTTGAATGCCTCGAGTGATAATCAAATAGGCATGAGTGAGCCATATAACATGTAATTTCTAAAAGTTTGGTAACGAGGTTACCTAAAAGATTGCCTATAAATTTAAATGTGTAAGTGTACAGAATGAGCATGACTGATTAACTAGACAACGGAAACTAACTGTTCATGAAGAGACTCTAATTCTGGACTGATATAGCTGC